ACCAACTATTTGATCTTAGCAAACACAAAAATGTCCACAACTCGGTCAGTTTCACAGCAATTTAGCAAACATTTGGTGTAGTAGTATAACTAGTTCAAAAGCTAAGTTCTTTGTTAAAAGCATTTACGTGTAAGGCATCAGGCGATATGCATTCATTTAAGGAATGTTGTTTTCATTCTTACTAATGTATTCATTTAAAGTATGCCTGTCTTGACATTTACAGTATTTAAGTGTTTAGTATGAATGTAGCTTTTGGATGTTCTTTCTTCAGTCTTTGGTCATTTAGAGTTTGGACTACGGTATTTTAATTCTCTGATTTTATTGTCTTATTTTGAGGATGAGTAAATAACTTGTGTCTAGAGAATATAGATTAAAAACATAGCCAATAGGCTTTTTTTCTGGCAGCATTTAAGTATTGCTTATTCATGTGAACTGTTCCAGATAAATAAAAATGGCAAAATAAAATTCATGCATTCAACCTTTATTTATACAAGTTACTTTACTTTATACTTTATTGTCATCATTGCCATAATAACAACAGTCATGGATAGCAACTAAATTTTGATGGAGTATCGTATACCTACACATTAATAAATTAGCACATAGTGGTGCGAAAGAACTTTGCAAGGTTCTGATGATCAGTGTAAATGCATATAATACAGCATCTAAGAGCAGGATAGAAGAAGGGAGAACTATTAACAGGCAGATGTTGGAGTAGTAGTTGGTTGCTGCAGCAATGCAATATCCATTTCACAGTTATTGTCATGTTGAGATTTGAGATGTAAGGATAGTGGGCTGGGTCATAGAGAGATGGTGTTCATTTAACAGTCTCACAACCTGTGGGGACAGACTGTGAGCCATTCTGGTGGTCCTGGCACCTATAGACCAATACCTTCTGCCTGAGGGTAACAGATGGAATAGGCCATGTGCAGGATGGTACCTGTCCTGCAGGATGTTGTTGACTCGTCTCAGACAGCGGGTTGTGTAGATAGTTCTGATCTTCGGGAGGGTAATCTCGATAATCTTCCCAGCTGTTTTAACCACCCGCTGGAGAGCCTGCTGGCCCATCTTAGTGCTGCGGGAGAACCACACTAGGAATCCATAGGTTAATACACTTCCAATAGCACAGTTATAGAAGTTGATTATAAGATGCTGAAGATTTTTGGCCCATTTCAGTTTCCTCAGAAAGAAAAGATGCTACTGGGCCTTTCCGATGGCCGATGTTGGTACCCCAGGTCAGCTTCTCTGTCACTGTCACACCCAGAAATTTGATTTTTGTGACCCTCTCAACAGCTTCGTTTCTGATGTAAAGTGGAGAGTGGATGTTTTTACATTGTTTCTGAAAATCCACAAAAATTTTTCTTGGTTTTCTTTATGTTAAGAACCAAGTGGTGGTTGTGACATCACGATACCAGTTGTTGTACTTCAGTTCTATATGCTGTTTCATTGTTGTCATTGATGAGCCCCAACAATGTGATGTCATCAGCATATTTAAACAATGAGATTTGCTGGTAAAGAAGTTGTGCAGTAGTGAGTTAGGAGAGTATAAAGTGCTGGGCTGAGCACACAGCCTTGTGGGGCCCCCATGCTGATGGAAAGAGTGGAGGAAGTGTGCTCGCCCACTCTCACACACTGTGTGCAGTTAGTTAAAAAAGTACAAAATCCAATTGCATAGAGCGTTGTTCAATCCAAGATCATGTAACTTCAGTCATGTAACTTCGGTAGGAGTTTGTTTGGTCATATTGTGGTGAAAGCTGAACTAAAATCGACAAAGAGCAGCCGAGCAGCCTCTCATATTTGTTCTTGAGCTCTAAATGTTCCAGAAGTTTGTGGACCATGGTAGCAAATGGTGTATTCTGTTGATCTGTTCTCCCTATATTCAAATTGATGTGTCCAGTGTTAGTGGTATAGGTTTCTTTAAGTATTTGATAATTAGTCTCTCCAGACATTTAGCTGGTATGAGGGTGAGTGCCACAGGTCTATAATCCTTTAGGCAAGTGACATTAGACCGTTTAGGTATGGGGACTATTGCAGCTGCTTTAAAGCAGGCCGGCGCACAGGAAGTGGACAACATATTGTAGATTGAAGTAAAAACATCTGCCAGGTCATCTACACAGTGTCACACAGGTGCCTTTCTAGGTTTGATGTTTCGAAGAGTGATTCTCACTTCGTGCATGCTCAGGACTGGGGTAGTGTCCCAAGAGTGGTAGGGAGGCAAGGGGAGATCTGTGTTTTCCTGTGAAAGTGGGCATAAAAATGATTTAATTCCTCAGCTAAGGTGGCACTACTATTTATTTACTGGGGTAGACACGGCTCTTTTATAGTCCGTAAAGACTGTGACACTCTCCCACACCTGTCTTGGGTCTGAGTTGTTTAAGTCATCCTGCAGTTGCTTAGAATGATGTAATTTGGCAGCAATGATACCTTTTTTTAGAGCAGTCCTGGCCATGCTAAAAGCCTTGGAGTCACCTTTTCTAAATGCTATATCCGTGGCTCTGAGTAGTTACAATACCTTGTATACAGGGGCTTTTGATTAGGTAAAATATGGACCCGTTTCCAGGATGTTACACAATCCACACAAAAGTTGATGTAGTTCAACACCGTTGCGGTGTATTCATCCAAGGACTCACGTGTGGGTATGCTCTGATCTTTAAATGCATCCCAGGTTGTGTGGTGGAAACAGTCCAGTATGAATAGCATCTGGGGGCAAGATGCTACAAGAGAGACCTGTTTTAGACAGATAACATAAAGTCAAGGAAAATTAATAGTAGTACAAAGCAAAGTACAAAATAAATTCAGTAATGTTGTAATTGAAAGGAGCACTGTGACGTTTTTTCACTAAGTTGTTTAATTATAACGTCGAGGTCATTTTCTAGCAAATAACTTCAGAATTAAATCGTCAACAATGCACTTGTTGAAAATTTTATTTGAACGTTTCTTTCTGGGGGAATGGAATAGAACTGTTGATTTTACTCCTGAAATAATTGTTTTATTAAATGTGACCATTTGGTTGACCATCACTCAAGTCAGAAACCAGAAACATTCAAAAAGTAGGGAAACTTCCACATCTATAAATATACAAGGACTTGCTGTAGGTTAGTGTTTTGTTGGTTCTTTTCTTAGCTGTTTTTGCCTCAGTACAACCCAAACAGAGCTGGCTGATGATATACATCTTTAAATCTTTACAGTTTCATCCCTCTGACTGATCCAATGTAGCATCAAATAAAAACATGAGATCACAGATCAATGTCTGGTTTGGTAACACCACTGCATCAATGACCTTTTGCACATTGTGTAACTTTGAGACTTGGTTTGTTCACACATGCACAGGTGAAATTAGAGATTTTGTCAGTAGCTCCCAGAGGGCTTTGTTCATACTTTTAGAACTATATGTAACCGGATCAGCTGACTAAATACAGCAAATTGGATCCTTTTATAGCAGGGGTGTCACTCCAAATAGCTGTCTGATTTCTGAAACCATGCTGTCAGAGGCAATGGTCAGACTTTCTTTTGAGTTTCTCTTTGAGACAGTTCTTAATGTCAGACAAGCGATTGAGTAAATCTGTTTAACTCAGTCTTTAAAAGAACTGTTAAGTTGAATTCTGCATAGGCCTGTCGCGATAATAAATCAATTAATTGCATGATAAATGAAAATTACCAACCTCATTTTCATTTATTGGCTTTATCGTTTCTTCGTGTCTCTCTCTCTTTCTACTGAAGACACTGGATGACAAAAGGCTAAACTCTGGTGCTCTTCACTGACCCTTCCTCCCTTTCTCTTTTTTCTTTGAAATGTGTTTTAACGATCCAAAATCGCATTTTTGGATCGTTAAAAGCAGCGAAGCTGAGAAGCTAAGCTACGAGCTAAGCTAACAGGCCGACGGGGGGGGGGGGGGGGGGGAGACCTCTGTCTTGTCACAGCTCCAAATTCACAGTTGAAACCTGTGCCTGCATCTAAAAAGTTGTTTTTTGCTGCACAAAGAAGCTGAGAACTTGTTTGCTGATTTTTTTAATTAAAAGCTTTGTGGGACAAATGCTATGCTAAAGAGCTCAAACCACACAGAGTGTCCGCCATTTTGAGAATCAAAAAGTAAGAACGAGAGACAGTCCATGTCACGTCAAGGGGCCTCCCTCCCATTTTTCTTAAAGAGACACGCTGCTCGCTCCCTCACTATCCATCCTTCCATTCAAACAGTCTTATACTGCCATCCGGTGGTCAAAAAAGGTAGTACACACATAAATTAACCAACATTTCTTCATAAATTTGACAATAATTACTAATTGTCAAATTTCAAACAATATTATAGTTTATCACAATAATTTGAGACAATTAATCGCCCAGCAAAATTTATCGTGACAGGCCTAATTCTGCATATATGTGCTAACAAACCCTGCTGTGTTTATTAATAAGCTGTTCAAGAAACAAGAATAAAATAGTCCCCAAAATAGATCCCTGAGGTACCTCACATGGCAGTTCTGTCATATCTAACATAATCTGGTTTACAAACAGCAAACTTTATAAACATAATATACTTTTTTTTTTTTTTTTTTTTACAATTCTCTTTCTGAATGCCTAATTGGATGTAGGATTGTGAAACAAATGACTGACTAGTTCACATGTGAACAGATTAGAAGAGAGGTCCCTGTGGAGGATGGCAACTTTGCATATGGCTGCCTGTAAATACTTTTCAAATGCTGAGAAGAGGCTTAGCAAAGCAGAAAAAATATCAGTTTTTATTTTATTTTAGGTACTTTTTGGTTTGACATCTGGTTGGTGAAAGGCAGAGTGCAGGAAACACACAGTAGGGGGGTCCAAGGGGAGTAAGGGGGTGCCTGTGAATGGTAGGCACATCTGGGGAGCCGCTCGGTTCATACATGCATCAGAGCGGTGAAGCAGAGTCTGAGTTAGGTGCCAAGGATGCAGCAGAGTATTGACACCTGTTCCTTTTTCTGCCAAAATTCTCTTCTTTTATTGATTTGTCTCTTTTTTCCCTCAACAGGTATCATAACATGGGGAACCTTCTGAAAGTTTTGACATGTACAGATCTGGAACAGGAGCCCAATTTTTTCCTCGATTTTGAAAGTAAGTTTCTTTACAAGTAATTGCTCCCACTCCTGATATTGATCACATGAATACATTTCCATAACAATATCGTTTCCACAATCTTAAGTCTTTTCACCCTAATTTATCTTCTCCATTACTTTCTCCCAGCAACAAAAGAATCAAATACAGTGCTGGAGCTTCTGCACATTTCCATCAACCTGCCTGTTCCACAGCAGTGTGTGTGCAGAATATCAATCGGAGCAGAGCTGCAACAGAGACACCACCCACCCCCTCCAATCCCCAAATATAAAGCGCAGAGGTTCAGCTGATACGTAGCCTAAGGCCCCTCAGCACGGCTTGAACCTGCGCTGCACCGTTCTCACACTTGGCAAACCAAGAAACTCCATGATACCTTGAGAGAAAAACATTTCTCTTAAGGCTCTGACGGTTTTTATTTTTAAAGAGCATCGCAGTTTTTAAATCCAAGGAAAGATTTTGCTCTTTAAGAATGCAGTTAGACTTCACATGTGCTCACACTCAATAATCAAGATTTGATGATTTAAAAAGAATGCAGGAACGCTCTTGAACATGTTATTAATGCATCTTTTACCAACCTAGAAATACAACTCTCCTCTGTAGTCGGAGCCGCAGGTCTACATAAACTTTAATTTTGTCACGTCTTAACTTTCTCCCTTTTCCCCCGATCAGCCAAGAAAATGGGTGGTGTCAAAACCTAATGGGGAGAGTGGAGAGATGAGATTATTTCCAAAACCTTTGATTTACATAATTGACAGTTGTTTATTAAACTTACCACGATATTGGAGGTTTTGATGGATTTCTTAGAGCCAGGTCATCTGGATTAGAAGCGAGTCCGACCTTTGTCACTGTTTTGCATTCACAGATGCGCAGCCCACAGAAGCAGAGCGAGAGGTGTGGGAGCAGGTGGATGTGGTGCTGAAGGACGCTAAGGGGATCCTGGATGAGCTGCAGGCCTACAAAGGGGCAGGGCAGGAGATCAGAGAGGTACAGCTGATACAATAATCCACAAGACTGACAGCAAATATCTGCTGCATAGTCTGGGCCTCACTTTTTAGGGTTAAAAATTAGGGATACACCGATACACTTTTTTTTTTTTTCCCACTTCCAATGCCAATACTGTGATTTTAGTATGGGTCGATCCAAATCTGATACAGAAAAACAGTGCTGAATTAACGTAAAACATTTGTTAATTTATTGAAAACTCTGCACCAGTACAGCACACTTAAAACACACCAAGAGCTTGGCACAAATGGCACAACAATTTCCTGCGGGATCAATCAAGTTCTATCTTATCTTAGCTTAGCTTCACAAGCTTGGTCAAACGTGCAAAAACAACAGAACTTTAATTTGTTCAGTCATTGCAATTATAACACCCAATGTAAAATAAATAATAATAAAGATACTGAAACTGACTAAATCAATAGGTTGGGAACTTTGGTCAAACATGCAAAAATTAACTTCCCCTTATTTTTCAAATGGTTCTGGAATTCTAAATATAATGCAAAATAAATAATAAAGGAGATGAAATAAAAGGAAAAAAACAATAGCTTCACTAATTTGGTTGGCAGATAATTAAAATAAACATCAATCAGCTCTTGTCCTTATGGATTGATTACATTGTCACGATACCCGATCATGTTTTTTTCCCCCTGATATCGGTACCAATACTAATATCGGATCAGTGCAGCTTTACCGATACACGATCAAGAATTTTTTTCCCCCAATATTGGTATTGATACCAATACTAATAAGGGATTGGTGCGTCTCTATTAAAAATAAACTCCACAAAAGATGAACCATGTAGTGTTTAAATAATTTCTCATCTGATGCAACAAGAAATGTTTTATTATATTTATTTACATTTTTGTTTTCAAAGTTTGACTTTAAATAAACTGATCTCAAACTATAAGATGTGGTTATATTTTTTAAATCGCCTCAAAATATTTATATTTATAACCTTCCATCACAAGTTCAATTTTTTTTTTCTCTCTGTCTTCCGGTGGAACCAGACGTGTCTCCCTGTCCCCCCTTTGATTTTTAATTTTTCTCTCTTTTCAGATTTAGCAACTACATTACCCACAATGCAACACAACCTCCAACAGTTTGAGTAATTGAGTACCATATTTTTCGCCCTATAAGTCGCAGTTTTTTGCACAAGCTGCACACCCTGCGACTTAAATGTCAAAGCAACATATTTATTGATTTTTTTTTTCTCCCATATTTATAAACCAATTCTTGGCTGCAATATGATTCATTCATTCTGACTGAAAATATTGAACACTGCCATTTTCAGCCGCTAGATGGCAGTCGAGCAGTGTGGCATGCCGTTTTATCATGTAATAGGTAAAAGTGGCTATTCATGACACAATCAGCTTGCCATAGCCTGCCACTGATTTCTGCCTGGAGCAACCGTTAAATCAGCTTCATTTTGCTGCGCCTTCCCGGCGAAATGAAGCTGATTTGACCATTGAACTTCATTTATTAAGTAAAAGTTCAACAGAGGCACACCTTTGACATAAAGTCGAGCTATCAAATAATTGTTTTTAGGTGGTTGTTAAATTTCGAAGAAATGCACAGCGAGTCGCCCTCTGCGCGTTCATGTTTCTGTGTAGCGGCTTTTGAAAATACAGCTGATTTGACCGTCAAAGTGCATTTATTAAGCAAAAGTTAGACCGAGACAGACCTTTACTATAATTTTGAGCAAACAAATAATTGTTTTTAAGTGTTAATCTTGTTAAATTCTTGTTAAAATCCTCCCGTGCACGCTCCCGCGGCCGCCATTTAGCAGCCAATTGATTTTTGGCACAACACCGGCCCACATTTCTGGGTTTGGCCCACATTTCTGGGTTCGGCCCACATTTCCGGGTTGTCAGCGGTGACGCTTAACAAACGCAGCACGTTAGCGTTGACACATAATAGATGCGACATATACAGCAAAGCAGCATATTTATGAATTTTTCCACTTTAGTAGACATATTTTGACTGATACGACTTATAGGACGGTGCGACATTTATGGTGGAAATTTTTCATTCATTCAATCTTTATTTAGACAGGTTAATCCCATTGAGTCTCGAGGACTCATTTACAAGAGAGACCTGATTACTGTCATTACGGTAAAATTACGGTAGTTCTATTTAAACACTATTAGCTCTATTTAAATCAGAATTTCTGATTTCTGATGGCAAAATAAACTGTAACACTCCCCCATCCTCAAAATCCAATATAGCTGCCTCTCACACATGAACAGAAGCGATAGCTGCAGTAACTTTAGTTGCACTTAAGCAAGTTTGTATCTGATTAAATCAACTGCACACACACTAGTTTACAGGAAGGCGGTTGCAAACGCAGCAGAGAATGTTCGTTTTCTTCTAGATATTAATGTTAGAATGCATAGACCCTTACACTAATGTTTTCCTTTTTTCGTCTTAGGCAATCCAGAATCCAAACAACGAGGCCTTGCAGGAGCAAGCGTGGGCTGCTGTGGTTCCTTTAGTAGGAAAACTGAAGAAGTTCTACGAGTTCTCTCAGAGATTAGGTTGGTAGCCTCCCATGCTGTCTCTGCAGAAACATCACTAAGGAAAAATTACGTCACCGACCGCTGCCTTGAAGCTCACACACCACAGACGGATTTAACTCGACCATTCTGGGGAGTTTTGTGAAATTTTCCTCCCTCTACAAGTAATGTTATGAGTGAGGCAGATGTTTTGGTGTGTCCGTTTGTTGACGAACTTTTCTCTTGAAACTCTGGAGGCAACAGCTTTTTATGGGGGTTTTGCACATACGTTGCATGTTTTGAAGTGCATTTGCATTCGAGAGGTGGGTATGTCAACAGATATGACAAACATTCTTATAACATGTAAACACTCCCCACCACCCCACACAGTGATGATGTATCAGCATGCTTGCCGAGTTGTATTGACCCCACTGTGTGTGAGGGGGGCTGCAGCTGAGACATCAGGGGTGGGGGGGATTTACTGCTCCCTGATCTTCTTATGACCCTATAAGAAGGGGAGGGGGCCTGTCATGCCTGAGTAACCCTCAAACCCATGATTTCAGACTGAGGAGGACGAGGTAGTCATCTGGGCACGGGGGTGGGGGGGTGCCACGACTGACGATGGCTGTTATGTAACAAAGTAGGTCATCTCTCGGCTTCGTCTGCTGCTCTAATTCACCGCCTTGACTTTTGGCTTCAGGGCCCGCGTTGGTCCGCCGTCCTGACTGATGCACACAAAGCTGAACGTGTTCTACAGGCTGGATGAAGTGATACGGAGAGCAGAATACAGAGGGGAGGAGCTGGTGCAATTATGAGCTCTGCTGTTGGAATAAACAAAGGAAATGCATCCTCAAAATAACAAAATGTGTGAATTAGATTTCTTCTGCTCGTTTTATAGCTCTAAAGTCTAAAACTAACGAATGCTTGAAATTTGTTTTAATCAGTTATGTGTAACCTACTGGAAATTATAATTTTGTAGTTTGATCTAATCCTAGACCAAAAGTCAGAATAAATTTAATTTCTTTGACTTTAATCGATAAGTATCTTCCATACACATTTTTCAGAGCTAAAGTGTTTTGTTTTGCACTCACTCCCCCTTTTTTTTGTTATTTCTAATTCGTCTTCATATTAATCCAAATAGTTGAATATCTAAAAAAAAAAAAAAAAAAAAATCCTCATATTTTGATATGCTGTTGTATTTTTCTGATTAAAACAATGCAGCTCTTCATTAATTCTAAATTAGTGTGATGGTGTGTCATTGTGGATTAAAATGCTGTTATAATTATAGAACAATCAACGTTTGCTGGTTTTCTTTTTCAAGATTTTTTTTATTTTTTACGATTCAGTTTCAGATTACCTGCTTTTATTTTTTTTATAGCTTTTATTTTTTTTATAGCTTTTATTTTTTTTATAGCGTAACACTAAACATAGGAATAATTGTAAGAAAGAAAAGTTGTGATTTTTAGGATTATGTTTGGCTTTGACAGCACGGTGGCTCAGTTGGTAGAGCTGTTGCCTCTCAACAAGAAGGTCACCGGTTCAAATCCCGGTCCGGGGGCCTTTCTGGGTGGAGTTTGCATGTTCTCTCCGTGCATGCGTGGGTTTTCTCCGGGTACTCCGGTTTCCTCCCACAGACCAAAAACATGCATGTTAGGCTGATTGGTAACTCTAAATTGTCCCTAGGTGTGAATGACAGAGTGAATGATTGTCTCGTTTGTCTCTGTGTCCCTGTGATGGACTGGAAACCTGTCCTGGGTGTCCCTTGCCTCTTGCACAGTGACTGCTGGATATTGACGCCAGTGACCCCTGCAACCCGAAAAGGAAGAAGTGGGTTAAATATCATAAATGTATAAATGTTTGGTTTGATATAATAAAATCATCATGCTGCAGAGTTTTAGATTTCTTGATTATTTTTGTTTTAGCTATGCTGCATTAGATGAAATATTAAAAAGGTCATTGTACAGCCATGCTTATAATGATAAACATTTACTCTGCAGTATTATAGTCCAGTAAAAATACATAGTAATTTAAATAACTTTATTGTACTTGTGTGCAGTTTGCATTTGTGTGATTAAAACAAACCTGTTGGCAGTTCTACTTTAAATGACTGAAATTGGTATGAGGAACAACAAAAATGTAAATCTTTATCACAGCATTGTTTGTTGACGACAGACTGGAGCACTCAAAATGTTCCTAATTCCTGTCTTCCTCTAACATTTCCTTCCCTGCAAGTAAATATCATATATGCCCAAACTCTGCCGCCTTCTCGTCTGTGACTTGATGAGATCAGACATCTCTCCGCACCCCGCCCCTCCCCAACTTTCCAAAATAGTGGAGCGCTGCATTTCTTGACGGCCTAAAAGCAGCTCCATTCTAACTTCTGTTTTGACTGGGATGTAGACAAGAGTGGAAAAAAAAAAAAAAACTGCACCACTAAGACCATTTGCAATCAGCCGCTCCGCTGTAAATGCTGGCCCAAGCAGATGGGAGTCATTACTGAAAAGGCAGACGTGCTCAATTTACCGCTCTGCACCGCCAGATCTCCGTCCGTCTCCTCAAAGTCCTCCTACAATTCATCTTAAGTAGACCCCTGCCTGAATCTGGGTTATGTTGACATTTGTATCGTCATTCGTAATCTGCAAGAACTGTAAAATACATTTAGAGGGGAAAATCTGTTTAATTTAAATTTGCAGCCATGAAGCCTTGTGCATCCGAAGCTCAGCTCGTCTGGGTTATATCACCGTTGAAGCCCGTCTCCTGCGTTGAGACGGAGCTCAAAGCACTGTCTGCGTCTATAAATAAAATTCCCTCTGGTCTTTAAAGGTTTTCTAGTTAAAGAGAAGAGAAAATGAGCGTCTAAAGAAGACATGTGTTTAATGCAGTAATTTCCCTGGTAGCTCTTGACTACATTTCACTTGCTCCTTATTTCCCTGCTGGTCCTCCTTCATTATCTGTCCATGGGTATGTGATGGCATGGCACAGGCTTTGTGTTTACTTACTGTCAAAGCGATGAGTGTAATCCTGCCTGAATGAAATCACGCTCCGCGCCTTCCTTTACATTTCCATGTCAATAAGATAATTAGTCCCATGTCTCATCTGCATCTCAACAGGAGCCCTTCGCAGACCCTGCACCGCCTCAAATCCTTGCCCCTCCTGAAACTGGCACTGGCCCCTGGGCGGTTTGGGCACCACCGCTGCCCCATTATCTGCGTCCTAATCAGGATGCTTCAGCTGGCTGACACTTTACACATCTAACTGTGGCTCTGATCCACTCTGACACTCGTTCGTTGACCTCAAAGAGGAAGAAATCAACATCTTCTTAAAGCTCTCTTTCCTTTTGAACTCTTGATTTTTTTTTTTTTAATCTACTAGTGCTGTGTTGGTGTAAACTCGTTTTGGATCGATTCTGTTGCTCTGAAACTATTTTGAGTTTGCATTTGCAATCAGAACGGCTGCCAAGACGTCCAGTAATTAACTGTTCATGTGCTTTTTTTTTGGGGGGGGGGGGGGGGGTGCTATATAAAAAGTGGTAAGATTTTGTAGTTTGCAGACTCAGTATTTTTTGTACACTTTGTCATTTTGCGCTGCCTTACCACAAACTAGTTTTTTCTGACCTTTACATTTTTAACATAACCTGTGTGCTTGAAAGACAAAAAAAATCGAAACGCTAAGCAGCACAAAAACTTCACAACCAACTGAACGGTCTCTGTTCCAAAACCTTCTCGTGGTCTTTTTTTTATTATTACAATAAGCCTGATCGACATGTATTCTGACAGTCCTGCAGCTTCCTGTTTAAATCCATGTTTGTCTTGCAGAAGCGGCGTTGCACAGCCTCTTGGGAGCTCTGACCAACGAGGCTTACAGCGACCCGACTCAGCACCTGGAGCGGGAGCAGGCGCTGGCCAAGCAGTTTGCAGAAATCCTGCACTTCACTCTGCGCTTTGATGAGCTTAAAGTACGTCTCGCTCTCTAACGCATCCTCATGTGTAACACTTACCCTTTAATCTTGGCTGTAAACTCTGCTCTGCTTTACTGTGATACAAACTGGAACTATTAGTCCCCCAACAATCTCCTGATGCCCTTAGATTGATTTTAACTCTGCACTGTTTCTCACTGCCATCACTGAGCATGTGATAAGTGTGTAATTAAAAAAATGATGTTTATAATATACTGGATGTCAGTTGAATGGCTAATGATGGTAATATTAATAAATTAGGTTTAGAAACCGTTTTAATCCTGATAAGTCCCAGAATGTTGCAACTACTGCTTAACTTCTATGGTTTTGTTGAGGTCATTTTCCTATGATGACCACTTTAAATTTGGTTGACTTCACAAGTTAATCAGTTGCAGATATACCAATGATTACTTTGAGTTTCATTAATGTCCTTTCAGTGGGTCATAAAGTTTTTTTTTTTTTGCTAACGCGACAGAAAAACAGAGACAAGCTAAACCATCAACAGCAATTAAAATATTAGGGAGAAAATTATAAGGACTCTAACCTGGCTTTAAATCAAACAAACTGTTTGAGAAATGTTTGAAGTCACACAATGAAGCCTGCGTGTCACTCAAATGGTCATTGTAAAAAAAAAAAATCATGTGAGCACTCTGGTTGAACTCATTCTGTCTTCAGTCTGAGATACAAACGTAAAAAACACAAGCACTTCAATTCCCTGAGGCCATTTGCTGCGACACTCCCAATTAGTACCCACTACCCATCCTGGCAAGATAAAACATGGAGGTAGGGGGTGCAAGGTGGCATGCCAGGCCTATTCATCAATCTTTCACACCCGTGCATGGGCTTCTGACCTAGTTAGTGTCTGTGTGGCGTGCAGCCACGTCCCTGGTGAAGCAGACCGTCTCTGATGGTGGACACAGTGGACAAAGACGTTTACCAGACCATTGTAGCAGGATTAACATACTGCCAGTATGCCAGCTCGTACAGGAGTGAAGATAATTAGCCACATAATGAGCTCTCACTGGTGCCTTTGTTTTTTTTTCAAGCAATCGTATTGGCCATCTCCCTTCGTGCAACATCAGAATCAGAGCGTTCATTTATCAACGGAAGTTTGTGTCAAATACATCCATCACCCTTGTGCTTTTAGTGCAAATAATAAAGTATAAAACTACAATGATGGCTCTTTATTGAGACGTTTTAAGGGATACCCCTCTTGAGTAAATGCAGTTGATCAGCTCAGGTTGGAGGGATAAAAGACAAATATTTTCTGATAGGAGATAGGATGTGGCTATAAGTGGTTGAATCAGTGTCAGAGGATTTAAATTCAGTTCAGCAGCTAAAACCATAATTGTCTCGCTGTTCTTTTTTGTCATTCTTCTTGCCCAAAGCTACATTTCTGCTTAGCTGGCTGGATCATTCTGTCATGACGGCAAGTGTGTGTGAGCCTCTACTCCCTACTGCAGGGTGTGCCACCTTCAAACAACTGCTTGCTTTGTTTTCCTACTTAATTTATTTACTTTTTCTTTCGGCAGATGACAAATCCAGCCATTCAGAATGACTTCAGCTACTACAGGAGAACGCTGAGTCGAATGCGGCTCAATAATGTACCGGTGAGAACATTTAAATCTTGCCTTTAATTTTATAGATTAAAAGCAAAAAGATTCATGACTTCATCTTCATCTTTCAGTTCTGTGGAGTGTCTTAGCATGGACAGGACATAAACATAGATAGCGGGCCACTGTAAAACATTTAGCTCTTTAAAAATTTAATAAGACCTATAAAAACCTCCCCAAGAATGTGTGTTTACCTCAGGTTTTTCCAGAGAGGAGAAACGGCTCTCTTAGTAAACAATAGTGCTACTTTGTAGATCTGTCTAAGTAAGAAACTGTTTTAATCAACGTAACCTGTTTAGACATAAATACATTGTTTAAAAAGTGTTTTAGAGGCTTGGCCGACTCGTCACTGTCTTCAAAATCTTTTTCTTGGCTTATAAAGAGCCTATGAGGATGCAAAAAAATTACATAAAGTTAAACTATCATTCATTGAAAGAATGCAGATTATCCATCGCCAAAGTTTCAAACCAAGGTTTTGCGTTATGTGTCTGTGCTTGGAGGATGTGTTAAGAATTACTCTCAGCTACTACCACACTAAATTTTTGCTCAAAGTGTAAAATGATGACCGGCAACAAACATAAAAGGTAAATCTTAATGTTTAATTGAAACTACTGACTTTTTCGTATTTTATCAACATTGAGATTTTTTTTTTTTTCTGGAGTTTTTTTTGTTGTTGTTTATAAATATTTTCAATGTACATTAAATATCCTAAAATATGTTGATCTAAGCAATAGATATATGTTAATTAAATGTAACAAGCACTTAAAAATTATCCCTGTTACAGTAGTCCCTCGCTACTTCGTGGTTCTTTTATCACGGACTCGCTCTGTCGCGGTTTTTCAAAATAAGATTGGATGGATGAGCCGCACGATTGGCATGGAATTTTTATTTTAAATAAATTTAAAAATATTTAGTACCTGCTGCACCTTTGTGCAGCCCACACTGCAGGATAAACTTCCTACTGCAGCTGATCAGCTGTTCACCATGCAGAGCGGAGAAGTGGGCATGGCCAAGAACGCTTGCAGGTGGCAAAGAGCAGAGGAGGCAGGGAGCTGAAATCATGACATTCTGTCTCTTTTAGAGCTTTTAGAGTTTAGGACCTTTGTTTAGAATATTGCAAGAGTGTGGGAAGGGTTTAAAATGCCGTGTGTGTGTGTGTGTGCGTGCTTGCGTGCGTGCGT